CATTTATTTTGACTTCGAAAAATCTTTCGCTTAAATATGACTTGAGTAGGTTGTAATAATTTATTGGGAAGATTTTTTATGTTGTAAAGTAAGCCAGACTTCCAGACTTTGTCAAGAGCCTGGGCTATACCTAAAAATGCTGCTGTGCAGTATTGTTTGTTATTTAGCGCATTTTTATGGTATTTGCTATGCGATGGCTTTGTTGGATGGTTGAGTGGGCTCGTCGAGAACCAAATTGGCGTTTGGTATCCATGTTTGTGTGTGTGATTCTTGGTTTATTTTGTTGAGTATTAGTTTTTCGAGGACTTTTGAAATTGTAGGTAGAAGGCTTGTTGGTCGGTAGGATGTCACGTCGGTTGGATTTTTGCCTGGTTTCAAGAATATTATGATTTGGGCCCTTTTGAGCGGACGATGCCAATAGTCCAGTCTAAGTATGGCGTTGAATATGTATAGGAGTTTTATTTGGCCTTTCCTTGGTAAATGTTTTAGTATTACGGCTGTGATGTTATCATGGCCTGGCGCCACTTTTGGCTTTAGAGTGTTTATTGCTTCTTGCATTTCCTTTAGGGTAAAGAGTTTTAGTCTTTGGTGTCTTTGTATGGGTTTATTTAGAAGTGAGTTTACTTCTTGTATTTGATTGTTGTTGTGTGGAGTGAACACTTCCTGTAGATGTTGTGCAGATAGGTCGGCTTTTCCTTTGTCGCTTCTTGCCCAGTTTCCTGGGGGGTGATGTGAATTTGCGTATTGGTGGTGGTACTGATATGGGCTTTCTTTTGTTTTTTATGGTTTCCAGATGAAATTGTCTTGTCTTCTGAGGCTTGCGATATAGTTCTCGAAAGATTCGTTGTTTAGTTCTTGTAATTGCGTTTTAGCTCATTGCTGATTTTGTTGTATTTTGCTCTGGTTTCCGGGGTGTGAGGCCTCTGCCAGGTTCATCTAGCTCTTCTCTTTTTGGCTATTAATTTTTTTATTCTTAACGGTACGTTATTTGTAGGGTTCTTCGGATCATTTATGGAGGTTGCTGTTTTGGCGGCTTCTTGTAGTAGGGCAATGAAGTTTTTACAGTCGTTTTCTATGTCGGTTGATTCTTTCAGCTTAATTTTTAGTTTTGTGTTGTCTTCTATTATTTTCCTGAAGAGATCCACATTTGTTTTGGAGTTGTGAAGTCTGGGCTTGGATTTCCTTAGCACAACTGATGTGCTTATTGTTGCAGTGATCGGAGTGTGATCCGATGTTAGGTCAAGATTTGCAGTTGCGTTTGTGTAGTTAGGAGAGATGCCGTTTGTTATGAAGAAGTCTAGTAAGTCAGGAGTTTTATTTTCATTGGTGGGCCAGTATGTTGGTGTTCCAGTCGATATGATGGAGTAATTGTTATTTTGGATTGTCTTGTATAGTTCTCTGCCTTTTGTTGTTATGAGTCTTGAGCCCCAAAATGTGTGCTTGCTGTTGTAGTCTCCGCCAGCTATAAATTTTGTACCCAGGGTTTAGAAGAATGACTCAAAGCGGTTTCTCTCGAGGTTATAGCGGGGAGGACAGGAGACCGCGGTAATGGTGAGAGCATAAGGAAATGTTCTGACTTTGATAGAAGTGGCTTGTATGTGATCTTTTTCACATTTTGGTAGTTCATAATGTTCGATTTTTTCTTTGATTAGGATTGCAGTGCCTCCGTGGGCTGTGTCGTCAGGGTGGTTTGTGTGGTAAAGCTTGTATTTGGGGATATTGAAGTAGCTTCTGCTGGTGAAGTGGGTTTCGCTGATTAGCAGGATGTCGATTGAGTTTATGTTTAGAAATATTTTTATATCTTCTTGATGATTTGGAAGTCCTTTGGCGTTCCATTGGGCTGTTCTTAGGAATCTGGCCATTTATTTTGTTTTGATGACGAGTGTTGTTAGCGTGTTTAGTACCATAGTATTTTGTTGTATTAATTGTTCAATTACATTTTTTAATTCCTCTAGGAATTTTGCTAGTATGTTAGTTGTTTCTTGTGTTTGGGTTAAATTTCGCTTTGTGATTTCTGCGTAGGTTCTGGGTTGGGTTATTTCTAGAGGTTATATATTTGTCGTGTAGGATTCATTTGTGTAGATTGCTGGAGTAGAGGGTCTTTGGGAAAAGCTTCTGCTGGTACCTTTGGTTAGCTTACGAAAGTGTTCGCATCCTCTGTAGTTTGCGGGGTGGTTTCCTCCACATAGTGCGCGTCTGGCTAAGACCGATTTTAATGATGTTTCATCGTCTGCAGCTAGGTATCACAAGTAATGTATTCTCTGCAGGCTTTCCAACAAAAATTGGTATACATTTACTTCCCCATGCGTGCTATGTGCCTCACCCATCTTATTCTCCTAAGATTGATAATTGTGACAATATTTGAGTAAAAGTCAAAGTTGTCTCTCTGCATAAGTAATTAAGCACTACAACATGAAGGTGTATGGGGGAATGGATGTATAGATTCGCATTTTCTTGACCTCGGCGCTAGCTGAAGATGAATGGTCAGCTTCACGCCCCGGCCGCGTTACCCTCGGGGAAAGAGCCCTCCGTACCCATTGGATGGACCCCAGAGCCGCTCTAGACGATATGGAGAAGTGAAAATTCTTGACCACACCCGGACTCGACCTCTGACCCCTCGGTCACCCAGCCCGTAGCCCGTCACTACACCGACTACGCCATCCCGGTTCCGACAGCAATATTTGGATATGAGAACAACTTATGAGCTCCTCATTATGCAGCTTCACCACTCCTCCTGTCACTTCCTCAGAGACTCGCCTTCTCAATTAGGGTTAGAGACCAAATTTTACACCCCGAAACTCTAAGCTGGGCCCGACGCAGTTGATCAGTCCACCCGCCGTGAAAGTTTTCGTGGTGTAGTTATTCCAAGTGTGATGCAAGACAATGCGCGGGGGTCGCGGGAAGGGCGACTGCATTAGTCGGGCATAAGCCGCCTGAATTTGAGAAGCTGCTCCCGGGAGTAGAGCGTTTGTTCGGGAGCGCGCGAGACAGGCTTCCCCTCTGCATTGCGGGAGTGCATTATGTAGTGCTGCAGCTGACTCTGTGGTAAACTGTCACACTTTTTCTTTATGAGAGGAGAGAACCAACCTTCATACACCTTAACTTGGGCTACATTCGTACTCTAAATCTGCCATTTTGCAACCGAATTAATCGTTTACACATGGGTGCGTGACTGCCAGTGCGATCTCTTTATAATGCGAAGTGAACACAGCAGGTGTCGCCCGCTGCAGGATTTTGGAACAGCAGAGCTCTCATTCGTCAGCCTTCGTTCCACTTTACCCTTTTGAAGGCCGGAGTTCATGTAAATAATTCTTAACCATTCAGTCCCTGCCATACAAAGAGCAACCGGTTAAAGCTTTTTAGTGAAATAATCGCTGTTTATTGTGAGAATCATACGGAACACATAAGTACACTCTGTGGACAGACTGCAGTATGTATAAATTTAGTTCGTACATCACAGGAAACACATCACATCTCCGCTACAGAGCCCAACCGGTTAATGCTGTTTAGGGGAATAATCACACAGTTTATTGTGAGGAACATACGGAACACACAAATACCCTGTGTGGGCAGAATACAGTATATATAAATTCAGTCTGTACCTCACAGGAAACACATTACGTCTCCGCTACAAAGCCCAACCGGTTAATGCTGTTTAGGGAAATAATCGCTCTTTATTGTGAGAATCACACGGAACACACAAATACACTGTCTCGGCAGAATGAAGTATATATAAATTCAGTTCGAACCTCGGAGGTAGCACATTACGTCGCCGCTACAAAGCCCAACCGGTTAATGTTCTTTGGGCAAATAATAGCTGTTTGTTGTGAGAATCACACGGATCACGTAAATTCACTGTGTGGGTTAAATGGACAGGGATTTTCGTGGTGTTACTCAGTCCGTCCAGGGAACTGCCTGGATGTTACCTCAATATCGCCCTTCTCAATCCGTCCCAATAGGCCCCTAGTCATAAGTGACAGCGTCTTTAGAGGAACATAAACAAGCATATAAAGAATGCAGTCAGAGTGAAAATGGGAATGCAGTGTACGGCTTGTAAGATGGACATACGCCAATGCATATCATCGCTTTTAGTAGTGTAGCAGTGCCGGAAGGGGCAGACACATGTGGTCCCCTGTGGCGAGTCCAAACTGCCGGCCGTCCCCTTCCCCTCTGTTGTTCGTGACTCCAGGCGGACTGGCAGTTCTTTTCTGCAGCGTTTATTGGCCCCTTCTGGCCTTTAGCATCATCTTCTCCTTCTGCTTACCCTTCACACACGCAAGGGAATTCTTTTGTCCATAATTCGCTGTTTCCCAGGCCCACGTGCCATTGTGTCCAGACTCGTATTGGGGGGGTTCTTGGCTCTAATCTCGGCCGAGACAGGGCTATCCTGATACGGTTAGACCACCATCGATTCCTTCTCAGTCCTTTTCAATTCATTTACCGTTTTACGCTATATACTCTAGCTGCTGACAGCGTCCGTAAAACACAACAGAACATTGTCACATCTAGATCCAGTGCCAAGTAACAGCTGTGTAAATTGGCGACAGCACAACAGCCATTGCTAGGGAACAGCTCTGTGACACGTTCCCCAGAAACGAGAGAACACGCTATAATGCAGGAGACTTTTTCTGTGATGTCCTTGCCGGCGCTATATGACGAGGACTAGTGGTTCGGTTGAGTCAGTTGAGAGTTGCAGTTGTGAGAAATAAACAGCTGATAGCTTAGGCCGGGGAGAATTCGGGAACGCAGAGTAAGGAGAACGTCCGAAGTTGAAAGGCGCTACCAAGCACCGGCTAATGAAGACTGAGAAGGCTTTATGTGTGCTGTAAAGTGATCTTTGAAGTGTGATCTTCAGCGAGGCTGTCTTAGTTATTTGTAGTTACGAATGTAAGGGTCCAGTAAATCCAGTTACCAATCCAAACCTTGTCTCTAGGCACTCTTGCCATGTGACAGTAATACGGAATAGCATTAGCATCTGATTCAGTGTTCGTGTTGTTCAGGTCCCTGTCGATGGCCACTGAGACCGTCCCGTGGCCGCCTGCAAGCAACGGAACACGAGCGCTCCGCCATGTACAGCAGCGTGGCAGCCCACCATAACTACAGCGCGAGTGGGGACAAGCTTAGCAACCGGCAGCAGCAGGAACAGCAACAGGAACAGCAGGACGACCAGAATAACCAACAGGAAGATGGTGGCGCTACCCGGCGACATAGTGCCAGGCACCATCGCCGCCGCATGTCCATCACCACGCGACTCTTCAATTACATCAAGCAGCAGTTCCATCCGGAGAAAGATACAGGTAAGCAAGTCTCTCGCCCGGCGGAAGTTGAGGCTCAGTTTGTTGTGCTGCAAGACCCGGGTTAGTTCAGTGTTACGTGCTTGTTTCGTGGCCAACAGATTTCAGCGGCAACGTTAAGAGTCCGAACATGGTTCCAAAAATTGAAAGTCCCAGTATTTATTACAGCCTCATCAGTTTTGAAAGAAATATGGCTGTTTATACATACATGATTATAAATTAGAAAAACGAATATAATGTTTTCTGTGCCAGTCACGGTAGCCGAGCGGTCTAAGGCATGCACTGTCTTCGCTCGCTCGGAAGCCGGGATCGTGGGTTCGAATCCCATTCAGGGCATGGATGTTTAGTTTGTGTGTGTGCGTTTTTCTGTGTTTGTGTACAGGTAGAGGCCTTGCGACGAGCTGATTCCCCGCCCGAGGAGTCCTACCGAATGTGTAAGATCTAGAAAAGCCGAAGTGAACGGAGAAGTTCATGGAGGTAGGCCTAGGCCCACTGGGGCTGTAGTGCCAAGGAAAAAAAAATGTTCTCTGTACGATACACTTATTAAACCTATACAGTGTCAGCAAGAGACGCAATGAATGCAGGCGACGACAATAAAACTGTGATTGCAGTTGTAACATCACATCTGTATGAGTATGATAGAAAGTTGTACAGGAATTTTCTGTCGTTTCGCGCATAATAATCTTTTCGGACAAGGTTATCGCTTTCTTCCGCCGATTCTCTTTTGTCTTCGCTCTTGTTGCTTGGCGACCATAGTGCAGGAGGGATTTATATCTACCACTGTTTATTTGCTTGGCAATCGTTTAATTCATAAATGGTCATTTTGTAGCCCCCATAAATAGCCGATTGTTTGGTCTGTCGGTTGTGTTAACTGCTGCAGACTACAAGAAGACATAAATCTAAATGTGAGGCTCAAGAGCCCAATGGAAATCGACAGCGCACTAACCTCTCTAATCAACACTACAAAACAGGCAACCCAAAATGCTACACCTAAGATCACCTTCCAGAATAACACAAGGAATGTTCCAATTGAAATTAAAAAACTCATAGCTGAGAAATGAAGAGCAAGAGCAAGGTGGCATAGAAATCAAGCACCAATAGATAAAACAACATATAACCATATAAGTAATAGGCTGAAGTGTAAAATTAAAGAGGCAAGAGAAATATCCTTCTCTAACTATATAACCAGCCTCAACAGATATGACAATACCATCTGGAAACCCATCAAACATTAAAAGAAACCCAAGACACAGATACATCCTATAAGGAATGAAATGGCGCCGCAAACTTTGTGGGCAAGAAGTGATGAAGAAAAAGCAGCTATGTTCGCTGAATATCTTGCTACAGTTTTTACACCATATGATGACCATACTGATAAAGAAATAGAAAGACAAATATCTGAAAATATCAGCATTATACCAGAAATAAAATTTTTTACAGTTAAAGAAGTGCAAAACGAAATAGCACTCCTAAATTCAAGAAAAGCACCTGACATTGACGAAGTGACTCCCATAATGTTGAGAGAAATGTCAAGAAAAGGGTTAGTACTTCTCACATACATATATAATGCCATTCTCAAAAATAAATACTGGCCAAATCAGCTAAAACAGCAGAAATAATCCTGATCCTCAAACCAGGCAGAAATCCTAATAGTGTGTCACCCTATCGTCCTATAAGTTAATTACCCATCATATCTAAGCTCCTCGAAATACTTCTCATGAAAAGAATAAGGTCTGACCCAAATACAGAAGAATGGATACCATCATATCAATTTGGTTTTAGAGAAAACCACTCCACCATACAGCCGATACATAGAATAACACAAAATACACCAAGCAATAGAAAATAAAGAACACTGCACATCGGTCTTCCTCGATGCAAATCAAGCCTTTGATAAGGTATGGTATCCAGAACTTACTTACTTACTCATGGAGCTGAGCCCTTCTTGAGGAGCCGTCAATTCTGCAGCTACTCAAGAATTTCCCAGCATTTTATGGAACCCGAAGGTTCATTACCGTGTTCATAAGAGCCCTCCACTGGTCCCTATCCTGAGCCAGATCTATCCAATTCATACAATCCCATCCTATCCCTCTAAGATCCATTCTAATATTGTCCACCCACCTACGCCTTGGTCTTTCCTGTGGTCTCTTTCCTTCTGGCTTTCCCACCAATATCCTATACTCATTCCTCCTCTCCCCTATTCGTGCTACATGACCTGCCCACCTCATTCTCCTTGACTTGATCATTCTAATTATACATGGAGAAGAGTACAAGTTATGAAGCTCCTCATTATGCAGTTTTCTCCAACCTCCTGTCACTTCATCTCTCTTTGGTCCAAA